TATATATACTGTATGTATAAAACTAATAAAATGACAAAAACAGACAATGAAATTACTAGAACTAGAAAAACAGAAAATGTAAAAATAAAAACTAATTCCAAACATTGATAAAAAACTATATTAGGAACTCAATTATAATACTTAAAAACTAACACTGGTGTTGACATTTCTTTAGTTGTGTTGATATTTTATTTCATATTTGAATTTTTTTTATGATTTTACTCCCGGTTGTTTCAGGTATTCATCTGGAGGGGCCGTTCATCAGTGAAGAGAAGAGAGGCGCTCACCCTCCGAAGTTCCTCCGCACTTTTAAAGCAGGTGGCGTGGCCGACCTGATGGAGACTTATGGGCACCTGGACAATGTCGCCATGGTAACCCTCGCACCAGAACTAGCCAATAGCGCGGCAGCAATCCGTGAACTGTCAGGAAGAGGCATAGCGGTGTCACTTGGTGCGTATGTAATTTCTTATTTCTTATTTTATTTCTAACTAATTTCTCAACTGGCTGAGCATTTCTAAAGTGTCTCTCTGTCCAGGTCACTCTATGGCTGATCTCTCTCAGGCTGAAGAGGCTGTGCAGCATGGAGCCACGTTCATTACACACTTATTTAATGCCATGTTGCCTGTTAGTATCACACACACATTAATGGAAAGGCATACACACACATATGCACATTTAGTAATTAGCAGGTAATTGCATTAGATCACATACTGTAAGTTTGTGCACACATATACATGTTTAAAATAACATCATATTCCTAGTACGCTACCGGACCATGAAAATAAATCAATGTAATCATTTTAAAACATGAATATGCATACCATGAACGATGCATGCTATTTTGTTTTGTTACAGTTTCATCATCGAGACCCAGGCATTGTGGGATTGCTCACAAGTGATCGTGTTCCACCAGGTCGGACGGTTTACTATGGTATGATCGCAGATGGGATACACACACACCCTGCAGCGCTGCGCATCGCACACAGAGCTCATCCCGCAGGTATTCACAAACGCACACAAAACTACAAACCTGTACATAATACTGACTATATATGACAATACAAAATAGCTTAATGAAATGCATGTCAGGTTTTCACTGTATTAAAGTTACTCTGTGTGTTGGTGGCAGGGTTGGTGTTGGTCACTGATGCTGTGACGGCGATGGGTCTTCCTCCCGGTCGACACACACTCGGACAGCAGCAGATAGACATCCAGGGGCTTCACGCTTACGTCGCAGGTCTGCGTCATGTTCTGTCTGCTTTCAGTGTGCAGCAAGTTAACCCAGATGCATCTTAAATTTGGTGACAAATTGTTTGTATGTCAGTTGAAGCAGTGTTGAGTTTGACAATTTCTATTTACCTTTTTTTCTTTTTTAGATAAATTCGATTTAGAAAGTGAAAGGCATTTCAAACCATACCGAAAAGTTTGAGTAAAATTCTTTGTAATACTGTTGCAGGTTGCTGATTGTAGGGTTGTTTTAGAGCATTTTTAATTATTTAGTCTTAATTGTTTTAATATTATGTTATTTAAACTACTGAATAAAAAGGTGCAGAGTTAAACCCGATATAAGTTTGGGGTATATTCATAAAGAAAAATAACAGTTCTTTAAAGAATATATTTTAAAATGTAATTTATTCCTGTGATGCAGGATTACTTCAGTCTTCAGTGTCACATGATCCTTTGCTGACTCTTTGATGAATATAAAGTTCAAAAGAACAGCATTCATTTGAAATAGAAATCTTTTGTAACATTATAAATGTCTTTACTGTCAATTTTGTTCAATTTAATGTGTCCTTTCTCAATTGAAAGTATTCATTTCTTAAAAAAAAAAAACTTACTGACCCCAAACTTTGAATGTTAGTGTATTTTAGAAGATAAGATTTTGGAAAAATGTATTTGATTGATCCATATTATATTGTATTATTTTGTGATATTTTATCATGCATTTTTATTACATGTTATTTTACTGTGAAATGCTTTGCGTGGTATTATTATTTATTGCTCTTAATTATAAGATGATTTTGAGTGTTTTGTTTACGTAGATTTGTGGTGCTATACAAGATAAATTTCCCTAAATTTTTTATAGCATGTTTTTATTCATTCATTCTTGATTTCAGGCACTACAACTTTGAGTGGCAGTATTGCGACCATGGACATGTGTGTGAGACACTTCAGAGAGGCATCAGGTCAGTGTGTGTCAAGTGTGTCTGATTACACTCGCATGTTCACTGTATAGGAATCCCGAGGAACTGGCTGCAGGTTATACCATTATAGTACTATGTGTGTCCATCATAGAGGTTTTATACTGGTGTGTGTGTGTAGGTTGTACAGTAGAAGCTGCATTAGAAGCTGCATCGCTGCATCCTGCTCAGCTGCTGGGCATCAGTCACAGGAAGGGAACGCTGGAGTACGGCACTGATGCAGGTATAAATGCGTCTTTCTTTTGGGGCTTATTTTAAATTGTATTTTATTTTTATTTTTTTATTTTAAAATTTACGTAGTTGTTTATTAAAGGAATAATTCACACAAGAATAACAATTTGCTGAAAATCTACTCACCCTCAAGCCATCCAAGATGTAGATGAGTTTGTTTCTTAATCAGAACAGATTTTGGGAAATTCAGCATTACATCACTTGCTCACCAATGGATCCTCTGCAGTGAATGGGTGCCGTCAGAATGAGAGTCCAAACATGCCTTAATGATGGATTTGCTTCTTACAAACACAGATTTTCACTACACCAGACATTAATGATGGACTGGAGTGGTGTGGATTACTTGTGGATTATTGTGATGTTTTTATCAGCTGTTTG